CAGCTGCGGCGGGCCCTCCGTTGGATACGGCGGAGGCGGCCGCGGAGGAGTCGTGCTGGACGAGCGGACCGGAGGCTGCGGCGGCGGCGGAGGGCGCGGCGTCGAGGCCGCCCTCGAAATCGAAGCTGAGAACGCCCTCTGAATCCTCCATGGGAAGTGAAGAATTTGAAGTGGGTTAGGGTTTTGAAATTTGATGCATTCGGAGACGAATGAAGATTGAAGAGTGTGTTTCAGTGTGGTGGAAGAAATCAGAAATGAAGAAGAAAGGACTCGCTTGGTTGTTCGGTTATTTTTGAGGAGTCACACTTGTTTTCTTTTTTAGGTTTTAAGTTTTAAACGTGAGAGTTTAATTTGCATACGCACTGTCACACCCAAAGTTTACATACCCACTGAATCTGTGAATTCCTCTTCTTTCTTCTGGTTACTTCTTTTATTTGGTTAAATTATTCTTCTTTTTATTTAATATTTTTTTTCTAAAATGTTCTTTCTTTAATTTTCTGAGAGTGCCAAAGTATAACAATAAATGTATCCAATCCAACTACACTAATACTATTATTTAATGTTGATTTTAAAAAACAAAATTTTCTTATGTATATCTAACTTTTTTATGTATTAGAGGGTTAAATTAAATATTTTAAAAATAAAGGGACCAAACCAAATAATTTAAAGAAACACATCGGTAATTTAACCTTTTATTTTGAAATTTTTTTTTAATAAAAAAAATTAGTTTTCTATATTTTTAAGTATATTTGTCTAAACTATTTTTTAAGAAAAATAATTTTATGCTTTTTTAAAATAATTTTATTTATTTCTGGAAAAATTACTTTTAAAAAAAATTATAATATTTGTTAATTTTAAGCAAATTAAACCTTTATATGTTTTTTTTTAAACAAGAGTTTAATAGTAGTAATTCCCGTTTACTGATCTCATCAATGATCAAATCTAGATTTTACACCCTTTTGATTAGGCATGGCAACAGGGCGGACCGGGGGCGGGTTTTACATTCCCCGCCCCTGCAAATTTAAACCGTCCCACCCCCGCCCCTGATATGGGAGTAAAATTTGGGTTTCCATCCCTGCCCCTGGTGGGGTTCGGGTTTTCCCGCCCCGCCCCTGCCCTGCTTTTTTTTTTCCTTTATTTTTTTAAATAAATATGAACAATTTTAAAAAAATATATAAAAAAAAGTAAAATAATATAAATTTTTACATATAAATATTTCTAATTTTGATTTATATATATATAAAAATAATTTTTTAATTATATTATTAAG